TATGCCAGAGTGTGTCTTTACTAACATATAGATTGAGTTATGCTCAGCAGCTGCTGCTGAAGTGTTTATTGAAGTGTTTACTGCAAGCTTTTCTGTGTCATTCTAATCAGTGTTTTTGGCTCTGACTCCTGGAGATTTTGTTTATTATTATTATTATTTTTTAAGTTTACTCTCCCACTCCATGTTAAAATAAATATATTGAAGACAAAAATAGAAACACAGGCCACACTGTGGTCTTTCATAATCATGATCCAGTGTTTGCAGTAAATAATGCTCCACTTGAAGTCCATCTCTACAAGCTTATTTTGGGGTTCCACCAAAATAAAAACGTGATAGTTATTATTATTATTTTTAAAATAATTAAATTAAATCATTTTATATTTTTATTTTTACTGTGAATGTGTGTTATTACATTATTTATTTTGAAATATATTATTATTGTTATTATTACTTCTACTACAACTACTACTAATATTAATATTATTATATAACAACAATTGTTATTTGTGCAGACCTACAAAAAAGCTGCACTTTGTTGTTTAAAAAAAGTTATACTTTAAATTGCAATTGCAATTTTTATTTAAAATATCACAATTGTATTTTCCTTAAAATTGTGCAACCCTACAATATCATTTTAATACATTGTTTACCCATCCAGACTCTATAGCCACATAAAGTCCAAACTGAATTTTAAATCTGAATTTAAATCCAGTAAAAGTGCAACAATGCGACTTAAGCTCTAAAAACCTATGAAGCTGTCATTTTTCACCTCTTATTTGCATGACATTGAACACTTCTCAGCTGTTTGATGCTCTGCGTTTGCTCCACTCCATCGTCAATCGCACAATCCCCTGAGCTTGCCGCTCAGCTCCCATAGAGAATGAATTCGAATATCCCACTCAGCTCCGCACCAGTGGATGTGCACGGTTAGCCAAAAGTCTTTGGATGTGGTGTAACTTTCCTCTCGTCGGTGTGCAGCTCAGAATGTTTTGGCTGGCTTTCTGCAGCCCTTATGTGGCACTTCAGTACCTCGTGGAGTGTTTTGCTGATCAGCTGCTGTGAAACGACAGATTGGAGCGGGCACACTTTTCCCCCGCTCAGCACTGCTGCAAACACTGAATAAGCTTGATGGTGTTTAAACGCTCAATATTAGCAGAACATGGGTAAGCGGCTCTTTTTTCCAACTGTTGATCTGGTCTTGGTATCTGTAAACTGTAAGTTGGTGTTTGCGGTTTTTAGCCACTGAGAGGTCAAAAGTTTTCGCTAGTGCGATTTGGCTGTGACGCCAATTCAAGGCCAGTCGAAAGAGTGCTCAAAGAGTCAATTTAGTCTTATCAGGAACGCTCACCTTGCACTGTGCCTCTGCAGTCATGTGGAGAAGCCACTAGCGAATTGGTTTCAGTGGGAATGGAGTGAGAAGAGACGCACGCCTCTCTCCTGCATCTCAAACAGTTGGGCTATCTCATTAAACCCAGTTGTTTCCCTGACACTGCGGCCGATCCCTGTCATCTCACCCCTGGAGCCCTTTGTCTGTATTCCTCTCTCTAGCTCAAACATGTAACGCTGCAGAATGAGGCTGTGAGACTCCGTCAAACAGTGATGTTTAACTGCAGATGTGTTCACTTGTGCTATAGGCAAATTACAATTGGCTGTCACTGAAACTGCAGAAATGAACTAGAAATCTGGCATGTTATGGCAGACCCCTAATGACATATTCAATATTGGGTCTCTGTTGCTAATTAGGAAATACTAAGAGATTGGATTGAATTCATCCAATAACTTGGAAGTCAATTAGTGACTTTATCTATATTTTCTCAATGTGTTTTAATCATTTTAGCCACAGGGCTTTTATTAACATGTTGTGCTTTAGCGGATATTAAAAATGCAGCAAGGTTAAACTTTTACATTATATATAATGTATAATTTTACATTTCTTATTTTTAAGTATAAAATTATATTTACATATTTTATGTTTTTGTATAATACATGTGATTTTATATTTATTTTTAGTAATCGTGATATTTTTTTATTTTTTCTGACTTTATTATAAGTCTGACTATGCTATAAGTCCTCACATATAATGCAATGCAGTGCAATATACAGTCTATGTATCATATGAGGTGAGAATATTGTGTATTAGGGAGATGAAACCAGTTCTTAAGGTCAAGAGTAGTGTTTTTGTTTAGTCGTAGACGGCGTGTTCTGGATTGAAATTAATGGCTGAACATCTGCTGATGGTAAAATTACTCCATGTTCAATTTGGAAGAAAAGCGGATTGGATTTTTCTTTTGAATTACAGCCGAATCTATTCACGGAGGCCTTGAAAGGCAGCGCTGTCTGGCCCATCTGCTATTTGTGTGTGAAGCTGCAGTTATGCTATGCTAAGGGACTGTACATATTTGAACGAGTCGAATTTTTGCCTATTAATGGTGCCACTGAGGTGGTCTTGTCATTTGCCTGACAATCTCTCTTTTGGCCCTTCGACAAATAGTCAAGGACATTCGCCTTATGTTGAGTCCTGCATCCCAGGCTGTGCTTTTCTACAGAGGCTATTCTGAATTCCTTCTGACATTTAACTGTCAAGATGTCTTCCTCTTTTGGTATCTCTGTTTACTTCCTCTAGTGCTTTGCTGTCTCTGTCCCTCTATCTGTTTGTCTGGTGTCTGAAGGAAGAAGGGGGAAAGCGTATTGCTGAGTGTCGAGGTGGGAGCCGTTGAGATTTAATTATTATGAGTGCCGGCTGCCGATTGGCTGATACCGTATGGGAAGAATGTCACCACGCTTGTGACCTACAGTATATCAGAAGGAGGATGTGGCTGATAGCTGAGGCCAGACACTCTGAATTAGGAAGTTGCTACTTGTGTAACTAAGTTCTGCCCAGTGATGGTTTCACTTAGTTATGAATGCTGACTTATAAGAGGGACTAATGTGTTAATTAGGGCCCTATGAAATATTTTATTTTTTCCAAATTCCATTTTTTCCATTTAAATTATTCTACACTGTTTTAATGGTCAAATTAAGTGTTATTCATCAAAAAGCATGTCTACTTAATTGAAATCATGAAGCTTACAATATTAATCAGCAATTTATTAAAAGTTTTACAAAAATGACTTTTTTAAAGCCCAATTAAATTTTTTTTTCCTCAAATTCAGTTTTCTGTTCATTTTCTGGATTCCATTTTAATAGCTCCATTAAATATTAATAATCAAAAGCATCTCTAATTAATTGATTTTATAAAATAATTTACTGTTTAGGTTTTTTTCACCCAAAATACTGCATTGTATATTTACAATTTTCTGCTAAAGTTCTACTAAATTTTTCTGGTAAATATTCATTTAAAAATAATGTTTTGATGATAATTGTATTATTAGTAGTAGTTCTATCATTACATTTAAGTAATGGTTTCTTCAAATTAAACTGAACTCTTGTTTTGACAGGTTGCTGTGAAGACCATTAAATTTCCGTTTGTATATGACATAGGCCTATCTTTCCTTAAAAGAAACTCTCATAGCAGTTCTGGAGATTGTTTATGTGTTTATGTACTCGTATATTGAGGCGGCAGAGGCTCAAAACATTGCGAGAATCACCAAAATTTGTCACATTCTGTGACAGTCGCGTTATACAGTAAATTCATTTTTTTATGACTGGATTCCGCTATTCTGCCGCGTTTTCTGCATCGTGGAAATCATAGGGCCCTAGTTAATGAGCAAAGTGGGATGGGAATATTATGAGGATGAAGATGTCACGTGTTCCTTCCTGTATTAGTGAAGCTGGTGCTCACTTTTTTTCCTCCTGGTTAAAAATAAAATCTTAGTCCACAGTGAAATCTGGGTTTAACAGCTCTGACACAACTTCCTCCTTGTGACTCCGAAATGGGGACAGATCGCTTTAACTGTGAACCTCCATGTGATTGTGATTTGGAAATTGTATGTGCTGGTTTCACTGTTGCTCTGTACTTAAACCAATAAGCTTCTGTTGGTGGTTTAGAGATACTGAGACAATGAGTTGCTGTATTGAGTTTCTTTACAGTTTTCTCTATTAGAATTATTTTTGAAGGGTCATGTGATACTGAAGACTGGAGTTAATGGCTGCTGAAAATTCGGCATTGCCATCACCGGAAAAATAAATAAATAAAAGAGAACAATTATTTTAAATTGTAATGTTACACATTATTACTGTTTTATCTGTATTTCTGATCAAATAAATGCAGCATTGGTGAGAACGAGAGACCTAATTTCAAAAACATTTAAACACAAAAAAGCTTACCGCCCCTTAACTGTATTACACCTGGTGCTCAGGTTTATAGTTAGAACTGAAGAACCGCATGGATATCAAGTCAGTGTATTCATTCTTAGACTTAACATGGCTTAAAGGTCTTATCTTTAAAATGGAAGTATTTGTCGGTGCCTTTTTATAGACAGAAATCAGTTATTTTTAGATAAGGTGATTAAGAAACGTGCTGAAGAGATAATAAATGATTGTTAACTAAAGAAATATGCCCATTGAGTTTAATATTTGACAGGTGTAATCAAATGTCATACAGGTGTAATCTGTAGTGTTAGTGTCAACAAGCCTCTCTTGCACTGTAATTAATTGCCAATTATAGAACAATTGTTTTTTTGTGAAATGTATTAATTTCTCTGGGTGTATTTATTTGGATAAACAGAAAATGCTGGAATTTAGGTCAGCTTTTCTTGAAATATCTTACTGAATCATTAAAGATGTTGTTGATGAAAATCAAGCCTTATTTGGGCATTTCATGACTTTTGCCTGTATTCCAGCTGAGCCTAACACTCTTCTCTAGGGAAGGACATAATCAGTTTCTGTTCTTAGTTTAAAATAGTTTTTTGTTTGCCTAGAGGAATATTTGAAGCTATAAATATATTCATTGAATATTTAGGTATATATTGTTTGGTTGTTTCCCAGGTATGATGAAGTCACAATGATATTCCAAGTTTTAAGCTTTTTCCTAAGCACAACCTATGTTTGTTTCTCTGCAGGGCCGACATGTCAAAACAGGTCAACTGGCTGCCATCAAGTGCATGGATGTCACAGGGGTGAGTTTATTTTCCTCTCTACTTCAGTATTGACTTCTTATTATGCTCTGAAGCTGTTGAGATCTTTCACCAACAAGATGTCGAAGCCAAGTCCTCTGCTCAAATCTGCAGGTTTATTTTAGGCTTAGTTGATCTTATTTCTGACGTTTTATTATATCCATGTATCCTCAAGGCTTAGTTTTCTCCTCATTAGCTCTCTGAATGATAAAATATGATGTCTTCTTAATAACCTTTTAGCATCCCTCTTTATAATAGAGCAGAAAAGATAAGGCTACAATGTCTTCTGTGTTTTTAAAGTTGAGTTCCCTCAAGGGACAGTCATTGGGCTGCCATTTTTTTTTTTTTTATTCAGTTGCAGTATTTCAGTCACGTCTGTCTGCTCTTTTTAACGGCAGATTTTTCCAATCTTATCTTTTTATTTTTTAATCTAAAGTCAATTTAGCATTTAATAAGCTGTTGTAGATTTTGAAATACCATAGCGAATTCAATTCACAAACTGTTATGATTTCACTGGCCACCGTTGGTTGTGTTTGTAATGGCTTGTGGCTGCCCCCTGTTATTTCGGGGTGAATAACGCTTGATTAGCAGGTGTCATGGATCCTTGTTTTGTAGGACAAACCTCTTCCCTGTACTATAGACTATGACTGTTTCAAAACCTTATCGACTGTCTTCGTAGACATAATTTTAGACAATATATAAGTGTTTGTAAATGCCAATAATGCACAAACACACGGTCTAGGTTGGCAGTACAGTAGGTTTTGAGACCCATTTTATAATGCAGGGTCCCCATGTAAAACTGGAATTGTGCATTGGTATTGTAAAATTATTTTCTAATCATAGAAAAGTCAGAAATTTCTACAGTGAAAATAAATATTTCTAGTTATGCTGATCTCTATAATATTTAATAACGAAGCTGATATAGATACAGAAGCAAATTGTATTTTCTTTATGGCTGATAACTGATAAAAGACAAAATTCTATTTCTATTTTTTTATTTATTTATTGTCTAAATAAAAAATAATACTTTAAATATTAAAATCAGTTGTTTTAAATGATGCAAGTGAATTTGGGCATCACAATATTATTATTTACTGAATACAAATTTATATTCTGAGCAATGCTAAAGATTCAATTTAGCATTATTATTATTATTATTAGTAGTAGTAGTAGTACATTTTTAGCATTTTTTAAAAATGAATTTTAAGTGAGCATTGGATGACGACACAGGTAATCTAAATTTTAAAATAGAAACACCTAAATATCTAATATCGACCAATAACAATAAATCAAATCTCCAAATCTATAAGACAATAACAAATATGGTAAAAAAATCACGCATCCCTAGTATTTAACTAGCTTGAAAGCACTTTTTGTTGTGTTATTATCCTGTAAGATGATTTTTAAAATCATCTAGTAAACACAAATGCCTCAAAGTCCTGGAAATTCATTGGTTGGGTGATGAGGGAATCCAGTTATCAGGATGGGGTTGTTCTTGGAAATTGTGTTTTGACCTGTAGTGAATGAGAGGGCAGATAAAGAGAGTTGTCATTAGCTCAAATAGCTGTTCATCAGCAGAGTCCAGCATGCTCTTGAGAAGAGCGCATTGAGTTGGGGGGCTTGAAAGGCTCCCAGAGGGACACTCCAGTCAGGATGTAATTCTTGGGGCCAAGAGCTAATCCTGTGCTCTCTGCCCTCCTTCCCCCATCTACTTCATGTAAAAGCACCTGCATCTGTAAGTGGGCCATCAGCCCTTATTATAGGTCACTAGAGTGGTCCCACCAGCCTCAAGCTTTACTTCAGAGAGTAGAGAGATATCCCATAATTCCCTGCTGCATGTGTCTTGACAGGAGGAAGAGGAGGAGATCAAAGCTGAGATCAACATGCTGAAGAAATACTCTCACCACAGGAACATTGCCACCTACTATGGTGCCTTCATTAAAAAGAACCCTCCCGGTGTGGACGACCAGCTGTGGGTGAGTACCGTGTGCCAGTGGAGATAGAGAGAGTGTATCCATCTGTGCTTCGAACACACTACCCTGTGTATATGTGGTCTTTTATGGGCCTATGGGGAAGTGTATGATAAATGGGCCTTGAATGAACATTGATGAACCGGAATCAAAGCACCGTTGTCTCTTCTACAGACTTGTTGTCATGGAGAGTTAATGGAGCTCTATGCTGGGAAAAGTTAAGGACTTTGTAAAGGCTGTGAAGCCTATTTGTAAAGATTGGAATAATAGAATTTTTATGCACTCTTATCACTCAGTTGTGAGTTGGGCTGCCCCCTAATAGTCAACTAACCGTTAGTCAACCAGAAGAAGGTTGGTCGACCAAAGTTTTATTAGTCGCTTAGTCGCAGAAAAATAAATCCACATTGGCGAAGTCACGCAGTCCATGGACAGATTGTTAACGGCTGGTCTTTGTGGTAATACAATACATCGGGCAGGACATCCAAACGCTAGCCTATCATTCATCGACCTCAAATATGGCTTATCATCTGAAATATGTTAGTAGCAGCAACTTTATATGGCCGCTCAATCTAATGTTCACCTAGAGAAATGTGCGCTATTCAGTGTTTGTGTGGAGTGTGGAAGCTGAACAGTAGCGCTCACTGCAGGACAGATGGAGGCGCCGGTGTGGTCATTTGCTCTTAAAATACTCCGTCATTTTTGGTCATACAGATAAGAATAATACAGCTTTCGAATCTGTAAAGACTACGTTTATTTGTGTGCACTCACAATAACAACAAATTGCACTGCATTGCACTTTTGTAAAATGATGAAAGCAAACAGGATGTGCTTTCTGCCGTCTCTGTCTCTGTGAACGCGAAACTCAGAAACGCTGTGTGTATTTTGCCTTAAAGACATATATATATATATATATATATATATGTGTGTGTATATATGTATATATATATATATATATATATATATAGAAATGTCTACTTTAAAATAAACCAATTCAAATGGAAAACAGATATTCTCAGATTATGTAATCCGTATTCTCAGATTAAAAATCTTTAGTCGAGGGCAGCCCTAGTTGTTAACTCCTAGCCCGAGTTGATGTGTGCTTGAACCTAGTAGCTGACCAATATAGGATTTTCAAAACCCAAAGCCAATATTTAGAGATGAGGTTGATCTATAACAATATAATGCTGATATAATATAAATAAGTGGTTCTCAACCAGGGAACCGGGTCACAGGATAATTTAAAATTACATTAAAAATATTAAATCATTTTTTTTTTTTTGTATTTGAATTTCATTTATTAAAATGTTGTTGTTTTTTTTTAAATGGAAAAATATATTTCCTTTTTTATTTCCCCCCTTAACAACCGTTTTAATTAAAAAAACTTCAATTTTTCTTAACTTTTGGAGGCACAAAATACATTTTGGGTAATTAATTTAATAAACTCCCAATTTGTGTTAATAAAGCAGTTTAATAATTAGCAGCTTTGTCATGATTACAGCAGAAATACCAGAAGGAATATTATAGCCTAGGCCTTTCAAATATTGTTTGACAGTTGGTGGGCCTTCAATTTAAATAGATTGAGAACCACTACTATAAATAATAATTTAATTTAATTATACCAATGAGACCAATATCATTTTTTATATAAATGAAACTCAATTTGACACAATTCACTCAAGGCTCACTGGAAAATATTTAATTATACTTACTGTATACAGTAAGTGATCTATCTATTGAAAGACTGATTTGTCTGAGCTATGCTCAGATTTGCAGAAAGCCTGAGTGTGAAAATTGATATCAAATCAATTATATTTAAAACTTGGAAGTTGTTCACAGTTCCAGTGATGCAATTACTGTATTTTGCCATTCTACTGATAGTGTTTGGCCTACACTCTCAGACAAAAGGTACAGAACTGTCACTGGGGTGGTACCCTTTCAAAATGAGCTAATATGTACCTGTAAGGTACTAATATGCGCCAACAAACATGTACTTTTTTAAAGCTTTTGTAACATAGGGTTACCACCCCAGTGACAGCTGTTTTTCTTTTTTTCTGAGAGTGTATAATGAAGCAAGTAATGATCTCCATAATAAGTAAATTCGAGAGGGCATTATTTAAATCTGCTGACTATACTTCTATTCTTTCACTTCATCTCCCACTCTAGTTTACTTTTCTCGTCCATATTTTCTTCTCCTGACAACTCTTTCCCTCTTCCACTTCTCTTCCTCAGCTGAAAGACAGGTCTGATAGTGGCAGGGTAATTTGTGGTGTTTATCAGCGGCTGCAGGGACACACAGGGGCACATAGATGTAGCGCTCCACCAATAAAGATAGACATCGCAGGAAATGAAGTGCATTTGTGACACATCTCAGCGCTGAGTGACAGCTCTTGAATGGGCAGACCTTTCAGATGAAGGGTGACATTCCCTCTGCTGTAAGACTCAAGGGCCACAGACCTCTTCAGTATTCCCTCTAACCGGACAATCAAAAGCCCAAAGACACAGATTGGGAAAGAAGCTTTTGGCATGATCAAGTGATTGAAACCTACATTCAATTTTGCTCCTGCTCTTCAGGTAGTTGGTGTGCATGTTTCCAAGGGAATCCATTCACTCAGCTTCAGCGCTGTTCTTGCATAAGCACTTTCTATTTTACGATTTCTCTCACCAACTTAACACAGCAGTTAGTGCTGTGGACTCTGAATTAAGCTTGAAGCCTATAAATTACTCCTTCAGTTTTGTCCTTGTGCACAAAGATTAGTTTGCAGCACATTCTTTTCAGTCTGTTGAAGAGGACATGGAGGCAATGAAAGCCTGCCCTTTAAAAAGACCAGCTTACACCAGCATGTGATTTTCACACATCTTTAGGCTGGTTTTTGCTGGACTAGCTTTTAGGGCTCCTGTTCAAACAGCAAGGTTGACTAAAAAAAGCTTGTTGGTTAAAATATTGAACAAATATAAATACTAAATAAAATAAGCATTTTTGATGTATATTCACATATTTAGTTCACTTCCTGGAAACAATCCTACGATTTCTCTCACCAACTTAACACAGCAGTTAGTGCTGTGGACTCTGAATTAAGCTTGAAGCCTATAAATTACTCCTTCAGTTTTGTCCTTGTGCACAAAGATTAGTTTGCAGCACATTCTTTTCAGTCTGTTGAAGAGGACATGGAGGCAATGAAAGCCTGCCCTTTAAAAAGACCAGCTTACACCAGCATGTGATTTTCACACATCTTTAGGCTGGTTTTTGCTGGACTAGCTTTTAGGGCTCCTGTTCAAACAGCAAGGTTGACTAAAAAAAGCTTGTTGGTTAAAATATTGAACAAATAAAAATACTAAATAAAATAAGCATTTTTGATGTATATTCACATATTTAGTTCACTTCCTGGAAACAATCCTGATCATTTACTCACCACCATGTCATCCAAGATGTCTTTCTTCAGTTGAAAATAAATTAAGGTTTTTGAGGAAAACATTCCAGGATTTTTCTCCATATAGTGGACTTCAACGGGGTGAAGGTTCAAATTGCAGTTTCAATGTAGCTTCAAAGAGCTCTGCACGATCCCAGCCGAGGAATAAGGGTCTTATCTAGCAAAACAATCAGTCATTTAAAAAAAAAAAAAAAAGTATATACTTTTTAATCACAAATGCTCATCTTGCACTAGCTCTGCGTTTCATGTCCACGACTTCACGCATTACGTAATCACATTGGAAATGTCACAAGTGACGTAGGCAGAAGTACTGACCCAGTGTTTACAAAATGATTGAGCAAAGACTAAATCAAACGCCCTTTACAAAAAAGGTAAAACAACGATGTCGGACTATTTTGAAGTTGGAGGAGAAAATCAGATGGAGTTTACTACTTCTGCCTACATCACGTGTGACCTTTCCAATGTGATTACGTAATGCGAGATGTCGTGAACGCGCATCGCAGAGCTAGTGCAAGATCTGCATTTCTGGTTAAAAAGTATATACTTTTTTTTTTGTTTTTGTTTTTTAAGAAAATGACCAATCGTTTCACTAGATAAGACCCTTATTCCTTGGCTGGGATCCTGTAGATCGTTCAACTCGTTGATCCCCATTGAAGTTCCGTATATGGTAGGGTGACCATACGTGCCATTTTCCCAGGACGCGTCCTGGCCAGGATTTCTATATTGCCTAAAATATCTAGGTTTTGATGTCAAAATACCATTCAGACACTTCCTTATGCTTTCAAAATGCTCTCGAGGTACTTTGATGTCATACACCGATCGGTCTGCACACGCAAACAAAGCCAAAACCTAGATATTTTAGGCAATATAGAAATCCTGGTCAGGACGCGTCCTGGGAAAATGGCACGTATGGTCACCCTACTATATGGAGAAAAATCCTGGAACGTTTTCCTCAAAAACCTTAATTTCTTTTCGACTGAAGAAAGAAAGAAAGACATCAACATCTTCGATGACATGGTGGTGAGTACATTATCAGGATTTTTTTATTCTGGAAGTGAACTAATCCTTTAAGGCAGTGGTTCCCAACCCTGATCCTGGAGGCACCCCAACACTGCACGTTTTGCATGTCTCCTTAATCAAACACACCTGATTCAGGTCATCATCTCATTAGTAGGGACTCCAAGATCTGAAATTGGTGTGTCAGAGAGAGGAGACATGCAAAATGTGCTGTGTTGGGGTGCCTCCAGGACCAGGGTTGGGAACCACTGCTTTAAGGTATCAGCATCAAACACAGCATATACTGGTCTTTTCAAATGAGTGAACTGAGGCAATTGAGTTTTGATTCTGTTGAGATTCATGTTGCTCCGAAAATGCCTAAACGTCACGCAGTCCTACTGTATGTACACTTTTCTGTCTAGGAGACATGCATTGGTGCTGAATCACGGCCTACGACTGAGTGTGATAGTCTGTGAAAATGAGTCAGCATCTTAAAATAGAGAAGCACCATCACCCAAAACACAGCCTCATGAGCAGTGTTCAATGATCTCATTCTTCCTCCTTTATGGCATCCTAGACAGAAAAATAGCAAGTTTCTCATGATTCATAAAGTATTAAAGAGGTCAAGCAGCACATGATGTTTCTTTGTGTGTTGTTTTGGTTTTATATGTCATTAGTGGATTATGATTTGCTCAGACATCAAGATTACTGAGCTTAACTTCAACTGTTCTTACACAATGGATTTATCCTTGTTTGAACTTCACAATTTCTTAGTTTACTCAAATGTGAATTTCTTTCTTCTGTTGAACACAAAAGAAGAATTTAAGAATGTTGGTAACCAAAAAGTTGCTGGTAGCTATTGACTCCCATAGTATTTTTTTGGAAGTCAGTGGCTACCAACAAATGTTTTGTTACCAACATTCTTCAAAATATCTTCTTTTGTGCTCAACAGTAAATAATGACAGGATTTTCATTTTTGGGTGAACTATCCCTTTAAGTCATACTGGCCTCAGAAGCAAATGTTCAGTTTCAGAGAACTGAATAATGTAAAGTGTTTCCTTATTTAACTGTAGGCCATTTCCAGATGCAGCCAACTTGAGTGGCTGTTGTGTGGTTGAGCACACATCTCTGACATGGAGTATTTGAACCTGAGCTCAAGGGCTTGTGACTAGACAGGACACTCTCCGCTGAAGTACGATTATAGGAGCTAGAAGCACAAGTCACTTCCAATTACAACATAATAAGGCTAAATCGGAGGGTTTGAGTATCAGCTAAGCTGACTAGCTACATTTTGCAGCCATTTTCATATCCACAACTGGTGTGTTCTGTTCATTTGTCGAATGCAGCATTGTTGTAGCATGACAAATTGCTAGTATTTTTGTAACTTGGCTACAGTTTTTAGATAGCTTAGTTGTTTTTGTTCTGGAAAGATGTGGTTTTAATGTTTTATACAAACAACAGTCAGGTACTCAACAGTGCAATTTATTTAATGGGCCGTACTTGTCATTTTCATTTGCAGCAAATTAAATATAGCTTCTATGCTGAGTAAATTCCATGAGGTAGGTGTTTAAAAACCGTAGGTGTTTCTCAAAACAATTTTTTTCAGATTTCTGTACTACAACAGTAGATTTAGTTATGTCAGTTGCCCTTTTCGTGAGAACAAATCCTGTTTTAATTTGTAAAAGTTCACTGCCTCCACCCGGGAAAACAAACGGACAAAGATTAATGGGCTTTGTTTAAATTCTGTAATATTACGTATTACAGTAATATCACCTTTTGCTTCTGAGGAATTACCCTTCCCATTATTACAAATAATCATGACACCTGAAGAAAAGAGATGAACTTTCTTCACTTGAGTTAAAAGTTTAAAGTGTTATTGTATTATTTTTTTCATCCCTGTTTTTGTAGTTTTTTTTATTTTGGTTTCGTGTTTTTATTGAATTGAGCTGTCAGACAAGACATGCACTTCTAGATTTATACTCAGTTATACTTAAATGAAATTCACATCAGATATTAAAGTGAAAGTCCCTCCTGATCTCTTGTGCTTGCCACTTTGCCAGCAAGTTTCGTTCTTGCAGCCAAATCTGGTCCGATTAAAACCTGAGTGATGCAGCCTTTTAAACACTGCACGTCTTGGGTCTGAGAGACATGGACCGGTGGGAGAGGAGGGGATCAGATCTTCAGCGCATGACGATGGTGACAGGCCTTTCCTCCTGTCTGCTACATTTATCCCAGCATCCACATGCATATTAATGGGCATCTCTCTCGCTCTCGCTCTCTCTCTCAGCTTGCGGTTGAGCAGTACTCAAAGATTTATGTCCTCCATTTGAATGTCCCTACTTGGGTGTTTGTGTTGAATGCTGCAATATTTATCATGTTTTTTTTAATGATCTGTGGGACTTTCCTCTCTGTCTTAATATATGATAAAATCCACCCAGTGCTCTACGGGGCATAATCCCATGAATCCCATGAAATATTAACGGGCTGATTAAAGCAGTCAGCCCCTGTCGTGCTGTTTGTTTGGGTCTTGTTTGTGATTGTTTGCAGTTTAAGTGGGTTGTTCTAATATATTTTTGATAAGCAAATGGTAGGCGAGGGCAAAATTTGAATAAATGGGACAACTGCACAGAAATGAGATTTGGGGCTAAAAGTTGTTGAAAGTGTTTCAAGACCCCTTGAAATGGTTTAATGAACGGTTTTTTTTTCGGTGTTGACATTTTTACTATTGAAACGGAACATACGTATTAAAGGGGAATGACATTATCATTTTAGAAAGTGTTTGATTTTTCACAAATCTGTATAGTGCTGAAATTGTATTTATGTAGTAAAAGTGAATGGAGCAGTGCAATGTCATATAGATGACCTCAAAGCTATCAGACATACTCAAAGCCATAAATCTCTCACTTTGATTTAATGGAGTCTTTAAGGGACTGTGTGAAAGACAAAAGGACGATTATGATTTGCAGGAATTGACTTGTTGTCTCTACAGCTGGTGATGGAGTTCTGTGGCGCAGGCTCAGTGACAGACCTGATAAAGAACACCAAGGGCAACTCACTGAGGGAAGACTGGACTGCCTACATTAGCAGAGAGATCCTCAGGGTAATGGCTCAAGTCACTGTGCTTTATTCACTGTCTTCCCTGCTGTGCTTAAACTAGCATTTGGAACATGCTTGCTGTTTTAGGTGATTCTAGCTGGTCAACAGTATAGACTGGCCTATATAAATATATATAATCAAATTCTCTACTGTTCAAAAGTTTGGGGTCATTTTTGACATTTTTTTTGTAGAAACTGAGAATTTTTCTGGGATGCTTTAATGAATATAAAGTTAAAATAAAAGAACATTATTTATTTTAAGTATAATTTTTAGTAACTGTCCATTTTGTGCATTTTAATGTATCGTTGCTAAATAAAAGTATTAATTTTACTAATGTCCAATGTTTAAATAGTAGTGTATGTAGTATGCATTCAGAAGACCTTAAATCTAAAGCATGAGTCGTTTTGTGTTCCACAGAAAAAATGTCATTGCATTAGATGACACATTATCATACCAAGTTGCATTTATTTTAAAGAATGGCAAAATGCGAATCAATGTTCAGGAAGAACATTTCACAAAAAATGTTTTGTTTCTTTTTAAGTGTAAAATGTAATTTATTAAATGTACTTATTCACAACCTAGTTTATGAATAAAGGATTCTGCCTTTCTCTCCTAATTCATGTTTGTCTCTTTTCCAGGGCCTCACTCATCTCCACCATCACAAAGTCATCCACAGAGACATCAAAGGCCAGAATGTGCTGCTAACAGAGAATGCGGAGGTCAAACTAGGTAAGAGCACAGCCCTGAGGCTCGGATAACTTTGCATAGCATTTACAGGCCTCACTGTGACTGTGCAGAGAAGGTTTCAAAGCAAAGAAATGTGAAAGAAGCATGGCCCAGCAATGCTAATGCGCTGTGTTCCTTTAGCGGTGCCCCCTTTAAGACTCTGCGAGGAAATTAGCATTGACTGTGAGACAGAGTAGGCTGGAACAGAGGTAAATCAATTAGCCTGTGAGGGGTAAATAATTGATCATCCTTTAGTTGACAATGCTATTCTAGTAGATTTCATAAATATGCTGAAGGCTGAATGCTAAAGGTTTGTGATTGCGAAAGGAGCTTTTCAAAACAAATAGTTTCTTTTCTCTGTCTCTCTGCCTTGAGAACATTTGTTTTTATTTCATCTCATTACATTTCCGTGTTTACTGTGAGGAGAGGCCAATTACCTGAAAGCCCAGGCACTTGCATGTCAGCGCACCTATTTGATTTATCACATGTAAAGGTTTTAAATTTTTCATTTTATCATGTCTAGTTAAACTAGCTTCTTATGTAATACAATTCTTTATAGGGCGTCATCTATCTTGAAAGCATGTATGGCACTAACCACAAATGCAGCAACTGTTGATTTATTTTTTCACCCCTAAGCATGTTGTGTAAACGTGTTAAAGGAATAGTTCACCAAAAAAAAGTAAATTCTGTCATTAATCGCTCACCCTCATGTCTTTCCAAACCAGTAAGACCTTTGTTCATCTTTGGAAAAAAAAAAAATTTGACAAAGTATTCTCGTAGCTTCATAAAATTAAGGTTGGACCACTGATATCACATGAACTATTTTAACAATGTCCTTCAGGTAGTACTACCTTTCAGGGCCTTCAACGTGGTAGTTCCCTGGCTGTCTATGCAGAGTCAGAAAGCTCTCGGATTTCATCAAAAATATCTTAATTTGTGTTCTGAAGATAAACAAAGGTCTTTGGAACGACATGAGGGTGAGTAATTAATGATAGAATTTTAATTTTTTGGTGAACTATCTCTTTTAGTTTCCAGCGACAAGCAATGGACCTTTTTCACATTTCCGGGTTTCTCAGCAGTGGAAGTCGTCATGGTTGGGTTAACTTGAACAGCGGTGAATGGGAGAGCACCACAAATATATTTCTTTGCATTCCCATTTGCTCAAATATCAATAGAAAAACTCCACGATAGCGTTTTCATGACTTTCAATAAAAGGGAAAAAACTGAGAGAGACTGATCACGGCAGTCAGAAGAGAGAATGTCAAATTTACCGTCCCTCCCATAGACACTGCATTAGAAACACCCGCGCATTAGCGTTAACTAGTATTTTTGTAATTTGATACAAAGGTAATATAATACAAAGAATAGTGTTATAAATGTACAGTATACATTTAAAAAAAAAAACAAATAGAAAAACTTTCGAGGTTTTATGATGCTGATGACAGTTAAACGTCTTGTAATCATAAAAATCACAGTCTTGTGAAAAGGGTCCATTATTCAACACTGAATGTGGAACTGTACTTTAAAGTCTGCTTTATTTCAGTGTAGTGATGTATTTCCAGCTGAACCAGTATATTGAGTAGAAGGCAGGGTTTTATTTTTGTGCTGCTCCTCTCTGTCTCTCACTCATAGCAACCTAACAGTTGGAGGGGTGTGTTTAAGGATATTCTGCACAAGCCGTCAACATCAGAGAAGGAATGCCATTCCAGAGCAGAAGCAAATGTTCCGATTTTTTAAAGATTAACATGACAAACTATTTTTTTTTTTTTCAGCGGATTAACTTTCACAGATTTATTGTTCACATAAAGACTAGCAATGTGAGCTAATATAGTAAATAAAGTCACTTTAAACATCAAATACTTTCAATTACCGGACATTTTTGGACTGTTAAATTCCCCAGTGGGCAGGGCTACTCTGCATGAAGGTGTGGTCACCTTAGAGAATTTTGGCAAAATTTTGTGGTCAAAAAATAACTTTCGCAATAGTATACTGTAGCAAGCGATACATAAAACACCACTCACACAGTAGTCATTTGCTGTTGGTCAATGCAGTAAATTCAATTGAACTTTAACATGAATAAATTCTGTGTGGGGAACTTTTTCGCCCATGCGGAAAATTCACAATTTATCTGAAATTCAATTCAAGTTGTATAGCACTTTTCACGATACAAATCATTGCAAAGCAGCTGTACAATATATGTTTCTACAATATATTTAGTAGTAGCTAATCAGTGGTGACTGTCAGTAAATGTACATATGGCAGAAATGTTTGGAAAAATCAATTAAAGACGTAATCAAACAGACGATGAACACTGTTAACAGCAATTATTATATATTGCAATCAAACTTATAGAAAAAATGTGGTAGTTCTGTATGTTGTTTCAGGGTTGGCATCACATCTGAGGTCCTCTGAGGGGTTGTCATCTCTTCTCAGGTGTTCTGGATCCAGAATGAAGCTTGTGTAAATCCTAGTTACCGGCAGAAACAGAGAAACAAATAGAGACATAATTAGCGTAGCTGCTGTTCCAAGTTCCAACCAAGCTAAATTTGTTTGTTTAACCCAAGCTAAAGAATAGTAATGTGCATTTGATCAGATATAACTGCAGTACAAGATTATGAGATGCATTATTTGAATGCTTGGCCAAAGAGATGTCTTTAATCTAGATTTAAACCGAGAGAGTGTGTCTGAACACCGAATCTTATCAGGAAGGCTATTCCAGAGTTTGGGAGCCAAATGCGAAAAAGCTCTTCCTCCTTTAGTGGACTTTGCTATCCTAGGTACTACCAAAAGTCCAGAGTTTTGCGACCTTAGGGAGCGTGATTGATTGTAGTGTGATGGAAGACTAGTTAGGTACGCGGGAGCTAACCCATTAAGGGCCTTGTAGGTAAGTAATAATATTTTGTAACTGATACGGAACTTAATAGGTAGCCAGTGCAGAGACTGTAAAATTGGCGTAATATGATCATAATTTCTTGACCTGGTAAGGACTCTAGCCGCTGCATTTTGGACTACCTGTAGCTTGTTTATTGAAGATGCAGGACAACCACTTAGCAGTGCATTACAATAGTCTCCAGTCTAGAGGTCATGAATGCATGAACTAGATATTCTGCATCAGAAACGGGGAACATGTTTCTAAGATGGAAGGATGCAGTTTTTATAACATGGGAAATATGATTTTCAAAAGACAAGCTGCTGTCTCAGATTTTTGATTGTAGAGGAAGTAACGGTACATCCGTCTAGTTGCAAATCTAAATCTAAACCATCTTAAAGCCTGTCCTTGAATACCTGTATAGTTTTGTAATCGATCTATGAGTATGTCATGATCTATAGTGTCGAACGCAGCACTAAGATCAAGTAAAACTAGCAATGAGATGCAGCGTTGGTCTGACGCAAGAAGCAAGTCATTTGTAATTAACAAGTGCAGTTTCTGTGCTATGGTGGGGCCTGAAACCTGACTGAAATTCTTCATAGAGATAATTGTTTTGCAGGAAGGAGCACAGTTGAGCAGACGCAACATTTTCAAAAATTTTAGACACAAACGTAAGATTTGAAATGGGTCTGTAATTTGCCAGTTCACTATGATCTAGTTGTGGTTTCTTAATAAGAGGCTTAATAACCGCCAGCTTGAATGGTTTTGGGATGTGACCTAGAGATAACGACGAGTTAATAATATTGAGAAGCGGTTCTTCTGCTACAGGTAACAACT